ATCACTCGTGTGCAGAAAGTGGTGAATCAACTCACAAGAAATGGAGAGACAGTAGCTGATGCAAGAGTTGTTGAAAAGATCTTAAGATCTTTAACAGACAAGTTTGAAAATCTGGTGTGTGCAATAGAAGAATCGAAGGACCTTTCGACGCTCTCAATCGAAGAGCTCACTGGTTCGCTCGAAGCACGCGAACAAAGAAAGATGAAGAAGAAAGAAGAGGCAGACGAAGAAGCAAACCAAACAAAAGAATCGAAAGATGAAAAGGTACTTTTTCTGAACAACTTTCAAGGAAGAGGACGTGGACGTGGAGGTCGTGACAGTGGTCGAAGTGGTAGAGGCAGTAACTTCGAAAGAGGAAATTCGAGCCAACAAAACTGGCGTGGCAGAGGACGTGGCCAAAGAGGTGGTCGTTTGAATTATTCAAATTTCGAATGCTACAAGTGTGGCAAGTATGGCCATTACGCGAAGGATTGCAACTCCTACAAATGTTACAACTGTGACAAAGTGGGACATCTTGCAAAAGACTGTCGAAATGAAAAGAAGACTGAAGAGACAACCAATCTGGCTTTGGAAGCTGAATCGAATGAAGGGTTTCTCCTGATGGCCCAAAACAAAATCAACACCAATGACAATATTTGGTATCTTGACTCAGGAGAAAGTAATCACATGTGTGGTTACAAACACCTGTTTAAAGATATGAAGGGAGTTAAAGATGGCAGCGTGTCTTTTGGAGATGCATCGAAGGTGAAAGTTGAAGGAAAGGGAACAATCAGCTATTTGCAGAAGGATGGCTTGATTGGGTCAATCGAAGATGTCTACTATGTACCAGATCTTAAGACCAACATATTAAGTCTGGGACAACTCACTGAAAAGGGTGCTTCGATCTTGATGAAAGATCGAATACTGCAGTTGAAGGAAAAAGCAGGATATCTGATTGCTGCTGTCGAAATGGAAAGAAATCGAATGTACAAACTTAACTTGAGGAACATTCGAGAGAAATGTCTGCAGATCGAAGTGCAAGACAAAGCGTCACTGTGGCACATGCGCTTTGGTCACCTACATCACGCTGGTCTGAGAAGGTTGGCAAAAAGGAACATAGTGCATGGATTACCAGACATGGAGTTCGAAGGAAAATTCTGTGAAGAATGTGTGCTCAGCAAACAAACAAGAACTTCATTTCAAAAGAAGACAGAGTATCAAGCTAAACAAATACTCGAATTGATACATACTGATATATGTGGGCCAATTACTCCAGAATCCTTCAGTGGAAAAAGATACTTCATTTCCTTCATTGATGACTACTCAAGAAAAACCTGGGTCTATTTTCTGAAAGAAAAATCTGAAGCACTAGAAGTGTTCAAGAAGTTCAAAGTAATAGTTGAAAAGGCAACAGAAAAACACATCAAAGCAATTCGATCTGACAGAGGAGGAGAGTATACTTCGATTGCCTTTGTGAAGTACTGTGAAGAACAGGGCATAAGAAGATTCCTAACAGCGCCATATTCACCTCAGCAAAATGGTGTGGCTGAAAGGAAGAATCGAACTATCTTTGACATGGTTCGATCAATGCTTAAAAGCAAGAGTATGCTGAAAGAGTTCTGGGCAGAAGCAGTACAATATGCTGTTTACATTCAGAATAGGTGTCCATATTCGAAGCTGGAAGACAAAACACCACAAGAAGCATGGAGTGGACAGAAGCCAACAATCTCTCATCTAAAAGTTTTTGGTAGCATAGCTTATGCACATGTACCAGACCAACGAAGAACAAAGCTTGAAGACAATAGTCAGAAGTTCATATTCATTGGATATGATGAGAAGACGAAAGGGTACAAGCTTTTTAATCCCATAAGTAAGAAAGTGATTGTAAGCAGAGACGTTCGAATGAATGAAGCCAGCAAGTGGGACTGGAACAGTTCGACAGAGGCTGTTGATACAGTCGAAGAAACAATTATAGCTGTACCAACAAACACTCCAGAAGAACATGAAGAAACAGAAGATAGAGATGAACCTCTACAACCCAGAATGAGAAGTTTGCAAGATCTGTATGATTCAACAAGTGAGGTGCATCTTGTGTGTCTTCTGGCAGACGCTGAAAACATAAGTGTTGAAGAAGCGTTAAGAGATGAGAAGTGGAAAAGTGCCATGGACGAAGAAATTAAAGCAATCGAACACAACAAAACTTGGGAGCTGGTCGAATTACCAAAAGGAAGTCAACCCATTGGTGTAAAGTGGGTATTTAAGAAAAAGATGAACGCTCAAGGAGAGATCGAAAGATACAAGGCACGGCTGGTTGCAAAGGGATACAAGCAGAAAGATGGCATTGACTATGACGAAGTGTTCGCGCCTGTTGCAAGAATGGAGACAATTCGATTACTCGTCTCTCAAGCTGCTCAGTTCAAATGGCAAATATTTCAAATGGATGTCAAGACAACATTTTTGAATGGTGTGCTCGAAGAAGAAATCTATGTCGAACAACCACTTGGATACATGAGAACTGGAGAAGAGAAGAAGGTGCTGAAACTGAAGAAATCATTGTATGGGCTGAAGCAAGCACCTAGGGCATGGAACACACGCGTTGACACATATTTTAAGGAGAGTGGATTCGAGCAATGCCCTTATGAACCAGCCCTCTATGTGAAGAAAAATGAAGGTGATTTATTACTTGTGGCTCTGTACGTTGATGATCTTATTTTTCTAGGCAATAATGTTAAGATGATCGAAGACTTCAAAAACACCTTGACAAGAGAATTCGAAATGACAGACTTAGGTCTGATGAGATTTTTCCTTGGTCTGGAGGTTCGACAGGAAGAAGCTGGGATTTTCATATCACAAGAAAAGTATGCAAAGGAAATCCTAGAAAAATATAAGATGAAGAATTGCAACCCAACTTCGACGCGAATGGAGCCAAGCACAAAGCTGTCGAAGTTTGATGGAGGAGAACGGGTCGAAGGAAGCAAATATCGAAGATTGGTAGGCAGCCTTCGATATCTCACATGCACAAGGCCAGATATTTCACTAAGTGTTGGCATAGTGAGCAGATTCATGGAGGAGTCAGTTCACACACACTGGAAAGCGCTGAAACGAATTCTGAGATACATCCAAGGAACAATATCACTTGGGATGTTTTATTCAAAGACTGAAGACTACAAGCTAGTTGGATATTCTGACAGTGACTGGTGTGGAGACATTGATGATCGAAAGAGCACTGCAGGATATGTGTTTTTCATGGGAAACACAACTTTTACATGGCTATCGAAGAAGCAGCCTATAGTGACACTTTCAACGTGTGAAGCAGAATATGTGGCAGCATCCTGGTGCGTCTGCCATGCAGTATGGCTCAGAAGGTTGATAAGTAAGATGGGGCTGAAACAGGAAGGTCCAACAATAATACACGTGGACAACAAATCAGCTATTGAGCTGGCAAAGAATCCAGTCAATCATGAACAAAGCAAGCATATAGACGTTCGATTTCACTTCATACGTGAACATGTGAAAGAGGGAAGCGTGGAACTAAGGCATGTAGCAAGCATAAACCAAGCTGCAGATATCTTCACAAAACCACTATCAAAGGAAGTATTCGAAAGAGGCAGAAAGATGATTGGGATGCTTGATCGAAGAAGCATTTAATGTTTAAAGAGGAGTTTTGTTGAAATAAACATTAAATGTGTTTGAAATAAATGATTAGTATTAAGTATGGTAGTAGGAAAGACAATAGTTTTATTTAGTAGTTATGTAGCAGTTATGTTTTTAATTTACTGTTTTAGAATTGTAAAAGTTTGTTTGAGTCTACAAAAGACCAAGTGTGTGTAATTTATTTACTAAGAGCAATATACAAGAAGTTAAAGTATACAGAAGTCTGATTCATATTCTAACAGTGACGTCCATATTTAGTGACAAAAAGCCTGTACAGAATAGTTCAATTCATTGAACCTTGAACTGACAACATTAAGGTGGTTGAATCATAACTTAGAGGTTACGTTGGTTTGATGTCTTGTTTGGTTTTTAAAACATTTGTCAAAGTGTTTTGAAGTGCTTCTTGGTTTCTCGAAAAATCTGCGGATTCTGCCCAGAGCACTGCTCTTCCAATAATGGCAATTAACTTTCGATTTCGAAAAATCTGTGTATCTGTTTTAGCGCATAATTCATGATTTAGCACAATGTTGTTAATTGTGGTTAGCGGAAAATGCTATAGCTGTGAAGTGCTGATTGTTGATTTTTTGTTTATTTTGGTTAGGTTAATTCATGTACTGGAAGAATGGGAAAAGCTGTCACTGGTGCAGCAGAAGCTGCTGGACTGAATGTTGTGCCGGTGTCGTTTGGGGTTGAAGAGGAATCAGGAAATATTTTTGAGGTCGGTGGAAGGGTCCGTCTGATAGAGAGGGTTTTCTTGAATCTGTTCTGGATAAACATCTGAATTTGATTGTTGTGGACTACACTGTACCAAATGCAGTCAATGGTATGTGTAAATATTTTGAAGCATGTGTTTTCTTATCAATTATCATTGTATAGAAGTATATATAGCTTAATATTCATTTCTTTTTATCCTGTTTTAGTATAAATTATGAAATTTCAGTAGTGTTATCAAATAGAGGCGCCATGGCCGCAATGGCGGATATACATGGCTGTTTTTGAGCTCGCCGCAATGGTAAATATTGGGCGATATTGCGGGTTTTTCCGCAATAACTCTGCTGCAAATCGACTAGTATGGCGGGATTTTTGCTCTCTGCCATGGACCGCCATCTGCTATCGGCAACACTGATCTCACATGTGGCTGAGCTTATGATATAATGTAATTTTAAACGCTCACTTGCATACTAAGATTGTGATATGAATTTGAGAAACTTACACAGCATGTGCAGGATTCCATAGAAAGGAATATGTATGGAAATCTGCGGTTGGATCAAACCATAGATAAAATTGTTGCTCTATGTCACCTTTACACGTTGGTATGAACTCTGTTAGGATCACCACTTAAATTTCCCAGGAATTCAAAGTCTAATTCATCCCATGATAACCCTTTTGGACGTAGCTGAACGTAGCTGCAATGCATAATACAAAAGTTCAATATTAGATATTAGGCATGTTTTAGAAAAATACTACATTATTGTTTTAGATTGAGTATGGATTAAACTCACATAATAAGCAGTGACTGTGCCAGCTGAATTCCCAAGTACAATATTGGTTTGCATGTCAATATTACCATAAAGATATTGATTATTGGATTTAAAGCCAGAGCCAGAGGTTCTGTCTAGAGACAAATTAAGAAGCTGACCATTGTTCAGAATCTTACCTCTCCCATCTCCCCAAGTGATACCAATATCTTGGTAAAAGTCTTCAGCAAAAGCTACCATAAAAGGTGTACGTATTAAAAAAATGACTGCATGATTAACAGCCATTGTACAGTATTTGTGTGCGAGACAGAAGAGAGTTGTTTTGTGTGAGAAGTGATGAAACAGAAATATCACATGCTCTAATTTATAGTAACCTATAAGGCTTATGGTGTGTGTGAATGGAGTGGAATTGGACAGCTAGACAGCAATCTGTTTCATATGCATATAATGCTAATTGATCATAGTTTAAAACTTTTAATAAGTTAAGTGGTCCATTACGTGGTGCTTCTTAGGGTATCCACTATTAAACCGAACTAGTGTTTGTAGTATTATCCTAACAAACCGAATCAGTTAAGTGGTCCATTATTATTTGGTGCTTTTTAAGGTAGCCACTATTATGTGCTGGACTGAACGTTGTGCCAGTGTCGTTTGGGGTTGAAGAGGAATCAGGACGGACTTTTGAGGTCGGTGGAAGGGAGTTTCTTGTGAACGGTTTTCTTGAATCTTTTGTCGATAAATATCCAAATTTGATTAATGTGGACTACACATTACCAAATGCAATCATTGGTAGGTAGAATTATTTTGAAGCATGTTTCTTATCATTGAAGAGAAATATAAATAACTTGACAGTCACTGATAGAGGTCATTTATGAATTTTCTTATGCTGCCCTGCTAACCAAATAGTGACACAAAGTCATCTTTCTGACTTGTCTCTTGGCTACTCTAAGAGGAATGTATATAATACTTTACTCTTTTTTCTTTTCTATCTTAAAACAAAATGAGTTATATTATGGTGTAGTTTATTAGTACTACTATATAAATCCATTGAAATTAATGTTTTTGTAATGATATTTTTCAATTTTCAGATGGAGAATCCTTAATGTTTTTGTAATTATATTTTTCAATTTTCAGATAGGAAATCCTTGTTATAAAGCACCTGAACTTTTGATGGGTTCTACCCGTTACTCGACTGCAGTTGTTATCTGGTCGGTGGACTGCATATTTGCTGAGATGATTAAGCTCAAACCTCTGTTCGTTGGTAGCGCCGAACCTGAGATGTTGACTCAGATATTTTGGTAATTTCACCAAAACACAATCACTATTATATGTGTAATTTCTCTGAACTTATATGAAACAAATTGAAATAATGAATTGGACATTTTATATATCAAGTTTGCTTGGGGCGCCAACAGAAGAATACTGGCCTGGTGTGACTTCTATATGCACCTTTGTTGAACAACTTGATCCTTCAATGTTGCCAAAGGTATTCATGTTCTGCTTTTGATCTCCTTTTATAAATTCTGGCCATGGAAACTATTGGATTTTGTAGGACCTGGCTCAAGAGTTCTCAAAGTTTGATCCTGCTGGTCTTGATCTTCTTTCAGTAACTCCAAATTGATATTGATAGGTTCCTGCATTGCTGGGGTTATTTTACTGCTCGGTTCGTTTTCTTCAACTCTACCTAGATGAGAAGGTCTTAAACAACGTTCAAGAGAGAAGTTTAATGAAAACAATTTCCTCCCTGATGTAAGTACTCACTGCAACATAGATATAATTTATACATAAACACTATATCACGATAATCATATCATTCTCTCGTGTTAGAATAATGACGATGTTCATAGTATTGAGTGATGAACTATATAAAACAGGAATAATGTAATACGGTGGGAGAAATGACTTGATTGTTTTGCGTTTGATCGCAATTGTTGCGGATAACAAAAGTCGCCACCGACTTTTTTTTATCCAACAAAGGAAGGGGTGAAAAGAACAGGAAAGACCTTTAGAGATGTTTTCTTGAGTTCGGAGGATAGGTTATGAAAAGGGAAGGTATTAACACCATTTTCATCCGTAGTTACCTACGGGCTCTTAGTTGCTTGCTAGATCACTTGTTTTGTTTGAAAATGTGCTTGTGATGTGAGTTTGAAAATATTTTGAAAACGTCTTTGTAAAGATTCTCGTCTCTATAAGAATGCATAAGTGTTGGTTTTGAAAATAGTTCAAAGAGATGTTTGAAAATAGTTCAAAGAGATGTTTGTTGTGGAAGATGTTTTTTGAAAGTGATTTTGAAAAGTGTCTTTGTAATGATTCTCGTCTCTATAAGAATGCATACAAAGTGTTTTAACTTTTTAAAATGTTTCAATTGAAAGTGTTGGTGTGAAAATGGTTTTTTAGTTGTGAGCAAGCAAGCAACTACGAGCGTCCTACCTATTCAAAAGGTCTTTGTTTTTTTCCTCCTCCTTTAGATGTTGTTATCTTACCATCGATTGATAAGAAGCCCCATCGTTGGATGTGAAGGGACGGGCGTGTGTCATTTGTATAGTCATAGAAGACAACCTATGAGACATTTTAGCAATTTCGTATAAGGACTAGATCGTTTACCGAAGGCAACATCGAGGGACATCGAGGGACTACGATCTTTTATCGAGGGTCTTTGCTAAAACGCCCATATTCGAGGGACATGACTATTTTCTAAGGCAACAAGTGAGATTACCCTAGAGGTGCATGTGTGTATAGTGTGTTTGATTATATGCTTTTGTCTTTGATTTGAGTTGTCTACTTGTTGGTTTTATCTTACCATACACCCTAATTACTAACATTTATGAAAGTAATAAAAATGCGGAAAATAAATATCCTACGCTATTACATGTTTTGGGGGGATGAGGTTTACAAATGTACAAGTGGGGGTTGTAAAAATAAAAGTCCTAATTATTACAACCATATTGAATAGCAAAAAAATGTAAATATATAGAAAATATAAGACAAAAATAGTATATAAAAAAGAGAAAGAAAAGCATCTTGGATCGAAGGATGTGCCTTTCGATTTCACACATTTTTCCATCTTTCGATTGGGGCTGGAAGTCAGTGTTAGCATGCACTCTTCGATTCATCCTTCTGGCTGCTTCTTTCGATTGGGCCTGGAAGTCAAGGTGAGTGTGCACCCTTCGATTCACACTCCATGTCCTTTCGTTTGGTTTGCCACTGTGAAGCAGTAAGGGGTGAAGGCTAAGGCTTCGATTCACAGGAAATTTTTTCTTTCATTTGAGTCTGTACAGGTTAGTTCTAATATATACTTGGACAAGAAAAAACATGCAATCGAAAGTATAGAAACGAAAAAAGTAAACAAATGTTATTCACATGCTTGAAACAAAAGGGTTAAGGTCAAGGTGACTTACCTTGTTTGAAGCTGGAATGTGGGTTTTGGACCTTGAGTTGCTGCTCTGGGTGCTCCTGGGTTCGAATGAAAGAAACAAGTGCGGTGTTTCTTTGACTGAATTCGAAGGAAAGAAACAAGTGTGGTCTTTTGATTCTGGGTTTGAGAGTGTGTTAAGTGTTTGATGATTTTCACACAACCAAAGTTTTTCCAGCTACCAAAAGCCCTCTAGATGTGTTGTCCAGCCCCCTAAGATGTGTTGTGGAACATCTTATTTATAGATGAAGTAGTCTGAGATTTGAGAGGGAAAACAAAAGAATTTGAACAAATTGAGTATGCTATTTTTGTAGCTTTCGAGGTATAACTCTGTGTATGCCAATTTGGTGCAAGTATGGGAGCAGCGTAGCAGGACTGCTGTGTAGTAGTTTTGGAGCGTTGTGACCAGTGTAGCAGGCTTGGACTTGGCAGCACAAGCATCTTGAATAAAACTCTTTCATTTTGACCAACTAGATCCATCCTTCGATCAGACCCCTCTTCAGACAACAATATGTGTCCTTCGAATGGGTCCTTTGTGCATCCTTCTAAGGGGACAAATGCGTATCCTTCGATTGGACTATATGTGTCCTTCGAAGGGATCACTTGCAATTCTTCGAATGGGCTAGTAGGGTATATCCTTCGAATGAGACACTTATGTATGCCCTTCAAATCCACCAGTACATATCCTTCGAAGTTTTAAAGGGTGGAATCGAAGCAAGCTTATTTCAAGGGGAGATATTGTCCAATCGAAGCTAGTGTGAACATAGCCAATGCCCTGTGCACAGAGGAAGCCATTTGTCTTGTGCATGCTGGTATGCAGGATGTACTTGCCTTGCAGGCATGAAGAAAGTACTGCTAATGCTTGTGAATTGAAGCTTGTGTGTAGGAGGCTACTACTTTGTATCAAAGGAAGCGTTCAGAAGGTCATTGCCTTCTGAATCGAAGGAAGCTTTCAGAAGGTCATTGCCTTCTTAATCGAAAGAGGCCAATAGGAAGTCACTAACTTCTGAATCGAAGGACACCAACAAGAAGTCTTTCCTTTTTGAATCGAAGGAGGCTGTTTCAAAGGGAAACAAATGCCCAGTTGAAGCTTGTGTAAAGCAAACAAGCAAAAGGCCAATGCCTCAATCAAAGTTTGGAAATTTGAAGCAAGTTTGAAGGAGGCCAGATGCCCAATCGAAAGCTGGGGAATCAAGCTTGCATCGAAGGAGGCCATTTTCCAGATTTTGAATTCGAATTGTTGTCTGCGGTCACTCCTTTCGATCTGCTTTGTACTTATACAAACTTGAGCTTTTGAAAATCTTCGTGAGATATATCTTAAGAAATGAGAGGGCAAATTTTAAAGTACAGCAAATAACATACAACATTGAGGCCTACATATTGTTTGGTACAACAGAGTTCTTACGGGTTTTGTTGGATAGAACACAGGCAGGCTTCACCCTAGCATTCAAGAGTTATGACTTGTTAGGGTGAAATACCCTTAATGAAGTGAATCACTCTTTCCTCTCACTGTTAACTTTTTTTGTCTATTGATGCCTGCTATCTCACCTTTTCACTTTTTTTGTTCTATCAGGTTCGTTAACCTTTAGTACTATCCTCAAGCCAATATTGAAATTTCTGGCCAGGTAATTCATGTTACAAACAGTTCCACCAATAATAAGTATGTTACAAACACAAATTTTAATGAATTCTGTTCGCTTTATATGTGTAGGGGCTACCTTTTGAGACATACTTTAAAAATTGTTGGTTGTAGTGGCTTGTATGATGAGATTATGAAGAAAATTGTTAAGTCTGGATTATAATAATATAGAAAATAAGAAAATAAAAGTTGGATTATAAAATTTTAAATATATAATTTTTTTTAGTTCTAATTTAT